TTTCAAAGCTCCTCCCTGGTGCGTGCGAGTCTCGGTTTACTGTTCTTTAGAACAAGAAGGGAAATCCCAAAGAAGTCAGTAAAGATGACGAGGAACACTTAGGATTTAAGGGACTGCGCTGAAATCAGGATTAAAAGACAACGAAATGAGCTTAAACTGTAGCAGAGGCAAGTCTGAGCCCATAAAGCAGGCTCAGGCAGGTACTGCGTGGTACTTCCTCCCACGATGGAACACGGGACCCGGGAGAGACCCCCACCTGTTGCGACTAGCTCCAAGGGAGTCCTCTCGGAGCCAAGAGGAAGCGGCAAGGTGACCCCTTCTGACTTGGGATGCATGTGATTTTCGGGACATGCCTCCAGGTGCTTCTCCAGGTGGGAGAGTGCCCCCCGGGTCCCACAAGGGCCGTGGGTCTGCAGCCCTTCCTGCCTCCCTCACGGTCCTTCCACGCTCCTCCCTCGTGTTGGCGCCCAGCGACTCCCTGGTCTCTCCAAGCTTTCATTTCACCGATTCCAGGAAGGCCAGACAAGATTCCTGGAGAAGGGCCCCAGCTCTGGTGTTCTTAAGCGGCCAGCGCGCTCGCCTGGAGCTCGGAAGGTCCCCTCTCCTGGTGGACCCAGCGTGACCGTGAATAGGGGAACGATTCCTTTTTTCTTCCGAGACAGAACCCGCACGTTCTTTAGTGCTGCTCCCCCCACAGGGCGCAGGAGGGACCGGAGAGGCCAGAGCCATTGAGGTGTGGGTCCTTCCTCACACGACTTGGTGAAAAGGAAGTGTGCGTGGTTCCCGGGGCGCGGGGCTGGTAGGTCACAGATAAACCCTGGAATCAAGCTGTTAAAATAACAAACCAATAAAGTGGAGTCTTAAAGGCAGCAAGTGCCACTGTGAAGACTTGAAGCAGGTTTGGCCAACACAGATGAAAACGACGCCTCCTCCCTCATGTCCTCCGGGACTGCACACCGAGCAAAGCCCTTCCTGCATCGGAATCCCAGACCTTCAGAGAGTGGGCCGCGGAGCACCCCTCAAAGCTTCCAAAGACCGTCCCGTGCAGGTGAGGGGCTTCCAGGACTCCCCTGTCTTTATGCTAACTTGGGAGCTGGCTATTACCCTTCATGGAATCTTTTTTATTTTTGATGAAATCATACTGTCACGTAACTTTTCCTATTTTCTAACCTACTCTCACAAACGGATGGCAGGGACTCTGACCACGATCTGACAGTTTAAAAAAAAAAAGGCTAAAAAATTTGTTAATCAGAGGGTGCTCTTTCAGAAATGTTTCTGAGCGTCTGAAGTCAAGCTTAGCCTGCTCCTGCCCATCACGGTGATCACCCACCAAAATCCACGCAAATCCGTGGCCACCTCTCGTCTCACCCCAGACGGCACGGGGGTAGGTTCTGGAGAAGACTCGGCATTGCAAGGCTTCGTATCTGCAGCTCTGAATGGGACACCAACCACCTCAACTCCACTGAACAGGGATTCTAGGGCCCAGGGCTTGATAAGAACCTGAGGCCAACGTGGGAAGCCACCCCTTTCCTTTCTAGATAAGCCCAGTCTGGGCAACCAGCACCTCCTCTCTAAGACCTTCCCTGAAGCCCAAGGCCCTCTCCCAGCACCTGCGACCAGCCTCCCTCCTATGCCTCTCCTCCAACCTCACTGAACACTGTGCTGCTCCTAGAAGGGGGAAAGGTACCTTCAACCTCAGATCCCTGATAAGGACGGTTGCTGGGTCGGATTCATTCTGAACTGGGAATGGCCAGAGACTGCTAAACACATCCTTTCTATTCCAGTCGAAGGGAGCCAAGGTAGCTGCAGCCTCTCCCATTCAGCAGAATTCTTGGGAAGGCACCCAGGACCATCACCCAAAGCTCTCCTCCAGTCCCAGGCGCCTCCACACACCAAGCCTGCTCACTCTGGCCACGTGCTTCTGAACAACACGACGCTCGCTCGGCTGCTCGAACGGTTTGGGGCTCATTTGGAAGGTGGTGTGTGAAATTAAACCAAACTCAGAAGTCCGTGGCCTGAAATATACAGTTTTACAGCTCAGAAAGTGATTCAAAATATATGATCGTGTTTGCTTTGCTCCTCCCAACAGTCCCACGAGACACAATAAATGTTATAATCCTCAAACCACGCACAGCGTGAAAGTGCTTGTGAACCGGAAGGCCTTTCGTGCACGCTCGCGACGCCCAGGAGGAAATGAGGGGAGGTAAGTGGCGTGTCCAAGTGCGCAGAGTTGAGCAAAATGCCAGGGTTCAAACCAGGCCCTCTTGGTGTGAAGCTAGTGCTTCCCTGTCTGTGCTGGCCCACAGGACTATGGGACTCGGCACAGAGGACAGCGGTTTTACAGAAGCAGATGTCTAACCCGCCAGCTGGGAAACACCTGCCATGGGAGACGAGGCCTAGAGACGGCTCAGCAAAGCTCATCGTCACCCCCACAGAAGTAACTTGGCGTCCTCATCTCTGCTTGCAGCATCAAACACGCTTTCAGAAATCCTGAGAACAAGCGTCCACAGGCAACAGGCCGTCCGCCGACAGAAGGACAGGGGCTGAGCAGCTGCACGAGCCCGCGTGTCAGTACAGAAAGATCAAGAGTCGTCAAAGACACTTCTCCATCCTATGGACCCAGGTGTCAGCCCCCAAGAGGGAGTTAAAGATGCTTCTGAAGAAATATTCCAGAGGTTTCTTCGGGCCACACGTCTTCTCCACACGTCTTCCGGCACGTGGTTCCTCCCTAGGAAATACACACCAGCGAGGGGGCCATCTCGGACCTGGCTCTATGTGGGCAACCAAGCCAGGAGTGCTGGAACACTCTGAGGGGGAGGAATGTACACTTGCTGACACGCTCGCTCACCCCAGCATTCTGGCCGTAGGGATGGAATGCTCACGGCAGGCCCCCTGCTGAGCGAAGGGATGCGGTCCCCGCCTTTCTGGGGCTCACTGCTGAGTGTCAACAGTTCCTTGGTTTCATTGGGAGCCCTATCCTTCCCTTGCTCCCCAACGGGACTGTGCATCCATTGTGACACCCGTCGGGCACCTTCCCCTAGACTCTACGCAGCACACCGTGGATAAGATATCTAGATGGTGACCCGAGCCTCTGACCAGGCAGAGGTGATGAACGCTCTGTCTGCAGCGCTACGGTACCTCAGAGGAGAAATGGGCACTTTCCTAGAGAAATGACGGCACCGTTCCCAAGACTGTTGAAAAGACCAATGCAAAGGGAACACTGGACAGTGTCATACGCTACAGTCAAAAGGAGATGTGGAAAGCACATTCTGCAGGACCAGTACACAAACCCACTAAGGCAGCAGGGGGCAAGCAGAAGAGCCCGCAGGGGTCAGGAGATCCGCATTTGGGTTCAGATTCTGCCCCTAGTCCAGCAAGATGGCACAGGGCAAGCCAGGTGTCCTCCCAGAGCCTCAAGGACCCCCCACCGGACAGCGGGAATAACACGGTCCACTTCAGACCCGTTCCATGAAAGCACGTGGGGAGAAATGTCCCATGCCGTACCTCACCAGATGGTGAGGGTATACGAGCTCCCCTAGGAGCATCTCGCATCAGCCCAGGAACCCTCCTGGCCTCTTTCCTGCACCCCCAAACCTGGATTTCCATCTGCTCACATCCCTGATGTCAGAGAAATCACTGACCAACCACATCTCACAAAAGGCAGATGCACTAATGCCTGAAACGAGAAGGCAGCCCCGTGACCATGACACGTCCCTGTCCGGACGCACCTCGGGCCTCCCTTTACAAGACGCGAGCTACAGGGAAGCCAATGACAAGGGGAAGGGACACACATTTTGCGCCCTTTGTGGCTGGCTGCCTTCAGCCCACTGACAACGCAGGGCCCAGGTGGGGGTGTGGAGCCGATCAAGCAGGACTCGGAGGTGATCCACATACTAGTGTTCGGGAGGGATTACGTTTATAGCCCATTCCACAGCCAGAAAGAAACTACTACTAGCACGGATCGTCGAAGGTTAACTGGCATGGAGAAACCTCGGCTCCCCGCTGTTCCTGTGTCTCCAGCAACAGGGTCTCCAGGCCAGGGCTTCCATCTGCTTGCTCCGTCCTCTAACCTCCACCCACCCAGTCAGGCTATGTGCAGAAGCTAAGATTTTTAAGGAGAAAGGGGATGGGAGGGGGCTGGGGAAACAGACCCCTCGCAAAGTTGTAAACAGCAGGGCTACCAGGGCTGCCCAGGCTGGTAAGGGGGCTGGATCCTGGGCCCGGGCTCCAAGGACCTCCAAGGACCTCTGCCCATCAGGCCTCAGAGTCCAAAACAACTCGTTCCGGATCTAGGTGGAGGGAAGGCCCACCCTGCAGAGTCAAGCTTATTAAGTCCGGCCTGGAAGATTACACCTTAGAGCATCTGCTGGTCAGCAGGTCTCAAGTTAAACCCTAAGCTTGGAGAGGAAGAAATTCAAATGCGCCCTGTGCATTTGGGGGCCATTATTATCAGTCACTGGCAAAAATCCAGACCTCTATGGGTGCAAAGGGTGCTTCTGTCCCATCAGTCAGGCCTAGAACATCCTCCCAGGCTCTGGAAATGGAATCACCCCCGCCCCCCAAGCCCCACCATTCCGTAGCCACCAGCCCGCGGAGGCCCACGCCCCTGCCAGGGCCCTTCCCCCAGCAGCTCAACACCTAAAGCCAGTCCCAATCCACCCTGGGGACTCACGTGACCAGGCCCCGGCGGCCTCCCGCCCCCTAAACAGGCAAGTTAGGGGCTCAAATTCAGCCTGTAGCAGGGCAAAAGTCGGAGACTGAGGGAAGCACTTCCCCTCTGTGTCCTCTCCCGGCTTCACTGTTCATCGCTCGTTTTTAAAAAGCACTGAATCGGGACACAGACACACCGAGAGGACACACGAACACACATGGCCGTACTGTCCCCAGAGACCGCGCTCCCACCCCAACCCCTCCTTCGCAACCTTTTCCCCAAATGCAACACCCTCTCCCCCAGTCTCCGGTTAAGAAAGTGCGGAAAAGCCCCTTCCCAGCGCGCCTACCTGTCTATGCTCTGGGGCAGCCTCACACTCATGGTTTCTCAGGGTCTCCGCGCGGCCAGGATCCTGCAGTTCTGACGTCCTGATCGCGGCTGAGTCGCTGCAGTTTCCAGGGGAGGCGCGGGGAGGGCCCCCCAACCTCGCGGCCGGACAGTCGGACGCTCGGACGCGCTCCGCGGGCCCTTAGGACCCCGGGAACCGAGGCTCCCCTCTCCTCGGACCAGCCGGCATGGTGTCCGTCCTCAGCCCCCCGCCCCTCCCCCGTCGCAGAAAAAAACCGAAAGAAAAAGAGGAAAAACTGTGACCTTCTCAGAAACCAAAACCCCAACCACAAATCTGTTCGAGGCCGGCGCCGGGGCTAACACGGGTCACAGAAGAGTCCGCCCTCAAAGCGGCCGTCCTCGCTGCAAGACCCAGGCGGAGCCCATGCTCGGGCCGCCGCTCCCGCCGCTGTCCTGCCGCAGCCGGGCGCCGGGGGCCGGCGGGGCCGTGCGGCGTCGCCCCGCGCTCAGCACGACGGCCGCGCCGGGGCCGGGGCGGCGGAGGGCCGGGCGGGCGGATAAGCGAGCGCAGACGCCGGGCCGCCGCGGCCACAGCGCTCAGGTCCGGGCCGGCCCCGCGGCCGCGCGGGTGCAGCGCCTTCAAGACAACAACAGAAACAGCCTTTGCGCCACGGCTCCGGGGACCCTTCCCGGCGCCCGCGGCCCCGAGCACGAGCGCGGCGCCCCCCGCCTCACGCCCGCCGGGGCCCCGGCCTCTCCGCGTCCCGCGCCCCGCGCCCGCCGCCCGCCGCCCCGGCCGCCATCAACCGCGGACGCCGCTCGCGTGCCCGCGCCGCCCGCCCC